TCAGACAAGAGTGCAAAAGTTCAGTTTACTTTTATTCAGAAGGGGGTAGATATAGCCAAGCATTTGATCCTCAACTGAGAACCACAAATGCATGGTAAAAGCAGATCTTTATTCTCCACCCACCCAACTTTTCTTCCAATTCATTGTTCTTTCTCCACCACTCCACTGGAATTTGGTAGGAATTAGCCAATGAAGGCCCTGTCTTCCGAGGAGGGACCCTACTACACATCAGCCTGTACAAGCTAGATTGTAGTTTAAAAAAAATCCACACCTTCTGAGAGTTATTTTCTATTTTCTCCAATTAATAGAGAAGGTCATATGGAATATGACATAAATGGCTGATGCATTCCAGAAGTCTGGCCTATAAGACCAGCCAATGAAAAGAGTCTCTGGACCTGAAACAACAGCCAGAATCAGAATCTTGCCTATGGGGAGAATTTGGGGATTTCTGACCAACAGACTTACTCTTGCTTAATTCTCTTCAATGTCTTCAGTGGTCCATTTCCAAACCTTTTAAGATTCTTCTTATGCGTTGTGTGTTATGGTAGGCTCTAGTGATACAAACACCTTACGTTTCATTCCTTCTCTGGTACTCACAGTTCCTCAAGTGTGCCCCATTCCAGATTCTAATTCCTAACCTTGAAACTTCTCAAGCTTCAAAACTTTTCAAAGAGTTTGTATTCCCCAACCACCATCCCAAACTCCCAATATAGGTAAGGTTTCTTCTTCCAGTAACCCCTGTACTCTGTTTACCTGTAGTATAATCCTTCACACTGCATCCTAATGCCTATGGACTGTGCTTGTCTGTCTCTCTCACTTCTCAAAGGCACAGTATTTGCCTTTTCATATGAATTCCCAGAACTTATCACTGTACATACTAGCTCTTTATAAATGCTTGTTGAGTGAATAAACAAATACATGAATGCATGAACGAACAAACGAATGAATGACTAACAACATGACCCCTACTTTACAGAAGCACACTCTAGCTGGGAAAGAAATAACAATTTGGCTAATTAGCAATTAACCAATGTATAATATAGATAAGATCCAAATACTGATAGAGCATTACATGAACAGAAATTAATTGTTCCTTTCATTTTATGCCTTTTTTCTTGATGTCTGCTCTATTGTTGTGCTCAGAGGAGTGTTTAAAATTCACTATTGAATGATCTATGAACAAAACCCTGATTTCTTTTGAAGAATAGGTTACCATACAAATCTATTAGGGGAATAAAACAAGAACATTAGATAAAGAAAATACTGTTGGCTGCCTACAGAAATACAGTGAGAATATCTCAACAAGGAGAATTTCCATACAAGCCTAACAAAGGGAATAGCAAAATCTTTGGGTTACTACCAAGTTTTTTTAGTGATTAGAGGACACTGATGTTATATGTTGTGAATACTGAAATTTCAGAGATAGTTATGATGAGGAAACTTCGCAAACATTAAGTGAGGTTAGTCCTGCTTTCACGTGTTTAAACAAAATTTCCAGAGGCAATGTCTGCAAGAGGAATTTCTCAATATTCAATCTCTACCTTGTTTGGTTTTACATGTAGGCAGTTTGCAGGTTTGTTACTAAGAGCTATAGATGGCACTAAAAAGAAGATGGAGCATTCCTACCACTTCTTCTTTCTAGTTTTTGGTCCCAGCCTTTTTTCAGTCCCTCATCATTTTTGCCCAGAACCATAGCCACTTAAGTGTTCTGTCGCCAGGATCTCCTTCTTATCACTGGATTTTTCACATTGTTAAAAAAAGACTGATCTTTTATGAAACAGGATCCAATTCAAATCTTCCAACATTTTTAGGGTGCATTGTTTTTCAATTAGGGTCCTTTGGAGTCTGTGGGAGGGGCACTATACTATTAGGGTAAAGTATGAAAAGCTGTAGGAAAGCGATGGGGTTTTTTTGAGGGCTTGGGATTACCTCAGTGGTAAGTAATTTAAAACATTTTTTTAAAATGTTAAAACAAATACTGTGATATTATGAAAGTAAATATAAAAGAGGCCTTTTTATTTTATTTATTGAGAGAGAATGAGAGAGAGAGAGAGAGAACACGAGTGGGGGCAGGGGCAGAGGAAAAAGTAGACTCCCTGATGAGCAGGAAGCCTGACATGGGGTTCAGTCCCAGGACCTTGGGATCAATGACCTGAGCTGAAGGCAGATGCTTAACTGACCGAGCCACCCAGGCGCCCTTAAAAGAGGAATTTAAAAAGAAAGCATGAGACCTTAAAAGAATGCCAAGTGTTTGATGGTAGCTGTCGCATTTTACTTAGACTCCCAAGGCACTTTTGTGAAAAGGTAGTGAAGAACCATCTAGAGGGGAAAGTTGCACCTTTCACAAGTCCCTGCCCAGCCTAGCTTCTCCCTGGGCCAGGAAAATACCTGTTCTCAGAAGACATACGGACTTTTGTGCCTCCACAACTTTCTTCTTGCTGTTTTCTCTGCCTGGGATTCTCACGCCTTCCCTTTTCACCAACTTCTCCTCCCTCCCTCCTTTCCTCCCTCCCTCCCTCCCTTCCTTCCTTCCTTCCTTCCTCCCTCCCTTCCTTCCTTCCTTCCTTCCTTCCTTCCTTCCTTCCTTCTTCCCTTCCACCTTTCCACCCTTCCTTCCTCCCTTCTTTTAGTAAACATTTCATGAACTCCACTCTGCCAGGTGTTCTACTAGGTTCTGGTGATGTAGGGATAAAATGCAGAGATGGTGAGGAGGGGAGAGAGAAGTTATACAAAAACATTACTAAACAGAAAAATGACTAACTTTGTATGTTATATATTTAGCACTGTGATGAACATTTCCACACATCACTCTACTTAATTTTTACGTCAACACTGAGAAATAAGTTTTGTCACTAAAACTTGCCTGGATGTCACACAATAAACGACACTCATCTCCATGGCATACCATCAATGACCTAGCCAAAGTTAAATCACAAGTGCATGTGACTCTAACTTGTGCTCTTAAACATCACTTACTACTCAATGTGATATGTAACCTTCTGGATCTAGATGAAATGCCCCATCATATCTCTCTTTCTTCTCTGAAAATTCTCCTTTTAAAGCACAATCACTTTCCCCCTAAGTATGTTCCTGTATTCATTATTAGCATAATTTCATTATGGCTATTTGCAATGTTCCTCTCTCACCAGGCTTAGAAAGTAGAAAGTCTCCAGAGCAGGAGCCACCTCTGGTCCACGTGTGTGTCACCCTATCCCAGCGCGGTGGAACTGCTAAAGGTGGCAGGATAGGGTCGACCCTGTGGTAAACCAAGCGCAGGAAAGCTTTGCAGAGATCACATTTGGCTGCCCACAGACTTTAAGGTGTGCCTTGTTTGGCTTAAAAAAGCATTTTGAATTAGTTTGCCAACATTTGGAAAGTAAGTGCTTATCTTAAATCCTGGATTTCCGGTTTCTTTTTTAGATTGGAAGATTTGGAAAGCTTCATCAAAGATTCTTACATGACCACAACTGGCTCGAGCTGAATGGTGACCGTCTGCTGTCGAGGGGCCCTGCACCCTACACTTCACTATATTCTCCACTACTGTTGTGCTGTCCTGGCGACTTTGCTCACTTAGGCTACTGACAGGGTCCTGACCCCAATATTTGCAATCAGTCCTCTGTGCAATTTCTGAAATCTCTTAATTTCTGTGTTATGGGATTATTATAAATAATCCTTATAAATTATAATATTAATATAATATAATTATTATAAATTATTTTTCATTTCTAGTTTACTAAGTTAAGAAAAGTGAAATGCTAAGGGTAGAAAACCTCACTGCTACATAAATATTAAAATATAGACTAGAGATGCTCTCAAGTATGGCATGGTAGAAAGCCTCATTACTACATACACATAAAACTGGGTGATGGACATTGGGGAGGGTGTGTGCGGTAATGAGCACTGGGTGTTATATAACATGGATGAACCACTGATCTGTAACTCTGAAACCAATAGTACATTATATGTTAATTAATTGAATTTAAATTAAAAAATAAAACATATATATATATAGTAGAGTAATGGCATGTATAACCTCTCATCTCAAACACAGAGGGCTCAGGTCTATTTATAAGTGACTCACAGTCTTCACATAGTTATTTCAGCTCACATATAATGGGTTATTTACAGACCAACTCTAGTACTGCTGGTAGTGATTATAATTACAGAAAAAAACTTTATCAATTCAAAATCTTCAAGGCTTGGGACAGAGATTGGGGCCAAGTTTACCCTTATATTGTGACAGTTCTTGAAAAGATTTGCTAAGCAAATATACCAAGTAAAGTGTTTGTAAAAGAACTGTTTACTTGACACAAATTTTAAAGTCATGAATTCCCAACAATGTAAGTACATTGTAAGCAAAAGCTAGATATTGCTTAGGTTGGTATTTTGATATAATAAGTACAAATTATTTTTATCTATTCTTTAAAGTACAGCTCCTGCTAGACAATACATTTTTATTCTAGTTCAAATTGCAATATTTATTTGAAAACAATAAAATATTGCTCCTGTGAAATGTATTATTTACTCTGACTTTTAATCATTTCATCTCTTTTCCTCAAGCCAACTGACTTATATCTGAGTCTACTTAGTAGAGTAAGTGCAAAAAAGGAGGCCATAGTTTAGAGTAAATCCCAATTAGTCACCTAAAGTTTCAATAGTCACATCCATTACATTAAGAAACCATGCTTTAATAATGCAGTCATTGGCAGCAAAACAATAAATGTCCAAACATGATGAATAGCAGGTTAACCACCTCTGCAACAAAGCGAACAACAATACCAAGTTAGCCCATTTTTGCTTAGTCTTGTAACAGATAAAATCACAGTCTATAGCTTTATTTATCTGTTGCATTAGAGGGTTACCCAACATCTCAAGATAAATTGGAGTGCAAATAAATAGCTTACCTCTTTTGATAGTCATTTATAGGAAAAATCATGTGTTTTATAGTGCAGAGAAGAACCTTCGAAATAGTCAAAATTGAGAGTAAGATCATATCCTACCTGGGTGACTTTCTCTGTCACATTGTGTGTTCGATCTTTAACCTTGGGTGCAATAATGGTTTTATCTGAAGAAGGAGGGGATGCATTCTTTTTTTCAGTTTTGACATCCGAAAAATTCAGGGTGAGCTGTGGAATCTTGTTAATGGTGCTGTATTTATTGAGATTAGAATCTGACGTGGATCCCAGGAGGCTTGACTTGATATGATTAAAGGGCCCTAAAAAAATTGGAAAATATTTGTAAAAGCAGTGTCAGGAGAAATAGAAGAAAGAGATGGTCCTGAATGACCCGCTAATGATCCACAGCCAGTGTGACCCTGCTTTGGGAAGGGCTAAATGCAGCCAGCTGATACCTGAACACAAGGTTTAGGGTCAGTGTCTGCCAAATGGAACGACATGTGAGTATCCGAGGGGAAGATGGGGTCCAAGGTGTGTACCCAGAAAGCAGATGGCATCTTTAGCTGTTACTTAACTTCTTTCATTAAGGGCTGGAATAAAAGAAAAAAAAAAAAACTCGACTCCTTATTATTGGCCTATTATTGGCCAAATTGGTTTCTCAAGAATGTGTTTTCACAATCCAGGGTTTATTCAAGGAAGGACTTGCCTATGGTTAAAATCCTGTTGGCCATGAAATTTCTGAACGGGCCGTCTACCCAGCTCCAATATGTATTACTCTCCTCTCTGGGCCATGACAAGTGACAAGCCAGCTGAGTTTTTTATATGCTTCTATTACCTGTATGAGATGTTTTATCGAGCTTCTAGAAGAGTCAAGCCCAGATGGAGGAATTTCAGGTAAAATCAAGAAAGGCCAATGTCTTTGTGTGTATGTGTGTGTATTCTACTGAAAACTCTAGAATCCTATGTGAAGTTTTAAAAATCTTTCCTTTTTTTCCCCTTTCTTTTAAATTTAAGACATTTTTGGGGGTGGGGGGGAGGGAACCTCTATAAAAACCATTCCAGAAGAATGTTTTGACAAACATAATTTACAATTGAAATGACATAGTTAGGTAATGGGCTGGAGTTGGTAGTATCTGGTTACCTTTTTTTTTTTTTTTAAATCATGCTATACCTTGGATCCCCAGAAATTTTTCATCTTATAGCTGGAAGTTAATACTGTTTGTCCAAACCTGGTCACTTCTCACATTTCATTTCTTCCCTATGAAGACAATTGGTCAAGGTTTTAGGACTCCTGCCCCCCTTGTCCAGGACGAATACACTGACCAGCTACATCTTGAGATGAACTTACTGTGTGTTGCTTATGGAAAGTCAGGAAATTCTCCAAAGAGTTTCTTGTATAATGGATTTCGCAACTTTTACCATTATATAGCTCTTAAAAATTGGCATCAGGAAGAATTATATAGAAATCCTAAGCCCACAAGTGTTACCCAGCTGTTATCTTGCTGCCTCAGAGAGTGCTTAAAACACAGAAACTGCATGACTGAACTTGCTAGTCAGCAAATTTTGCCTTATGCTATTTTTTGTTGTTGTTGTTCAGAATAAAACGAATATATTTTAGGGATCAAAAAGCACTTTATGCACCAAACAAGGTCTAAACACCTGAAAATTAGATTTATAGGTTGTGTATTTTGAACCACAATAATAAATCAACTCGCTCAAACAGAACTCTAATAAAAAATATCCATCACTTAGTTCATAGTTAACTTGGAGAAAATTCGTACTATATTCATTTATAAAAGTTCATGTTAGATTATTATAAAAGTTTGAAATGATTTTAAGAGAATTTTCACCTATGTGGCAGATACTGTGTTCCCTGAGGCACATTTCTATTCATCCCCTGAGTTTTATCCATGATCTTGATCAAGTCCATCTAGGTGAAAAATGTCATTGAGCTCTTTGGGCATTTATTGTCCAATATGCTCTCATTTGCATATAGATTCGTATTCTCTTTTCTATTTATATGACAAAGAGAGAAATATGAGCCAAAAGTGGCACGATATTAATCTAGAGTCCAGACAGGTCTGACAGAAACTCCATCCTCTAGGTCTCTTTATAAGTCTCCACCACACACCACTGATTTATTATTGTAACATATCCTACATAGTGTTTCCTTTTTTTGTATCATTCTATGGCTATATTCCAGGCCTATATCTTAGAATTTATAATTTGTAAAACATTCTAGAACTTCAGACTTCTTAGATAATGGCTTTTCCTCAATTCTAATGTCATATTTTCACTCATTAGGTATTTTTATTACACACAGGGATACTGAGAAGAGATTAGAGAAAGCTGAGCTCAGATACATAGTTGTGTTTAAAACCCTTACGCCCATCTTTGAATTCTCTTTATCATCCTTCTATGTGGTGGATTTCTGTAGCGGATTGTCTACAGAGTTATTTAAAAAATCAGGCAAAAACATGGATGATCTATGACGTTAAGGCAGACAAACACTGTTAAATATACTTTGATTGTCCTTGTGGTTGGTTCCAATAAACTCCCCTGAATTGGCTACACCAATGAGCAAGAGGTCTCAACTATGACAGTACTTCATCCTAGGGACATTTGTGGGGACATTTTTGTTTCTCATAATGATGGGAGGTGGCTATTCTTTCACCTTGAAAAAACTGGCCCATATCTCTCAGTGGGCATTCATGTAGGTAAAAGAAAGCCTGTTTATAATGATCTGAGCCTTGAACCTGTGTCACATATAAAGAGCACAATTTACTTTTAACATGATTTTAATATACATTGAGCTTTCCAGAGCTACAACTACCATGTAGGGGAAAGAGTTTTACATTGTTTTGTTTGGAACTTTACCAAAAGTTGTTCGCCATTTTGGAAAATCGTTATCACTTAGAGCTATGCTACTTGTGACATTTGAATTACCAAAATGAAATTTCAGACTTCAGGTTGTAAGGTTATAGTTTGTGTTTGCATGTTATGAATAAATATGTAAGCAAAGAGATTTGAGTCTTTTTTTTTTTCCAGTGTTGGAACCAAAGATTAAATTTTCAGAGAATTATAAGAATCACAGTGAAAATAATTAATAAAATTTCTTTTAAAAATATTTCATATTATTGTTCTCTATATATGTAAAATGATGCATGATGCAATTAAAGGAAACTATGTATAAGAGCTAAACACTTGAAATTATTTGTCTTGACATTGCCTGTTGGTTTCCAATCTCACTTTAGTAACTCCCTAGAGATCTGCCACGACTTCACCTAAATGTCTTGATTGCCATTTCTTTCTCCAATACATCTTCTAGTCCCACTGTTTAGGAAGACATATGGTCTGCAAGGGCTTTTTGAAATATTGGAAGAAGAATGTATGTTCTGACATTTGGTGGGATTTCTTTCTTCGGTGCAATTCATTATCACATGTTATCACATAGGGAATCATGTTGACATTACACTGAGCTGGTAAGGCCTGGCTCATTTGTGAGAATATTATACTTCCTCATTTTCTCCCCAGTTTATCTTGGTGTATTTTTCATAATTCAATTTGGTTATTTCCTATTTTTAAAATTCATATATAAATAATTCTGATCTGTTATTATTTATTCCAATAGTGGTTTTTATTTTGTTATCTACCCATACTCCTGCTCTTATCTGGACAATTTAATGCTCTTAAAACCATTTTTTTTAAATGTCTGATCACTGCATTGTATCTTCTAATGTAGTTATATCTGAACATCAACATATTGAGAAAAATACCATTTTATTATAAACAGTGTTTCTTGTATTCCTCCTTTACATTATGGTTAAAGAATCATATTGATCTTTTAGAAATAGGTTAAATTATCTCTAAATGTTGTTACAGGATAGTAAAATGAGTATAACAAAATACTGTAGAAACAAGGGGACATTGTAATGTCATTGAGTCCATATTTTAGCTTCTCATATTTACTTGTGGATAAACTTTCTGAACTGTTACTCTATTCTGTGTTTTTTTTTTTTTAAGTTCTTAATATTAGAGATTTAATCTAGGCTTTCTTTTAAATCTATACATTCAAAGAATTCAGCAAAACCTTAAAATAATCCATGCATGCTACTTAGATAAGACATTTACAATCTATTTCATCCTGCATAACCAAGATAATTATGCTTTTTTCCACTGATTTTGAAATAGATGTTTATATGCAGAAGTCTGAGACTGCAAGATGATCAGCATTAGCTTGGGTTCCTCTAAAACCTATCTAAATTCTAGTGAAAAATTTTCCAACACTTCAATTAAGATAGGTATCCACAATATTCTCATTTTACTAATTGTAAACCTAAGCAGACAGACTATGAGGCCAAAGGGGAATAAGCATCAAGGACTAGAAATCAGAATACAGGGTTTCCTACCTCCTAGGTCTATATTCAGAGAGGCCTTGGTTGAGGATTTAAAGGTGAAAGGCAGCCTCCCTGAGAGTGATCATGAACTGATGGGATTTAGGACTCTAATGAAAGAAAGGAGAATAACCTGAAAAACAAAGTAAATGAATTTAAATAAAATAAATGGGTAGAAATAAAGGGAAATAGTAGATTCAATAGAAGGGAATGTAAAACTCAAAAGTACATAGGGGGACTTGATGTTCTTTAGAGAAACATTTGCGAAATGGATGACCAGTTTAAACATTCCAGTGTACTAGAAGGAGATGAAAAACAGGTGACCAAGTAGAGTAACCAACAGCTAGATAAAGCTCTAATATATTACAAGTGTCTGATTAAGTATAAAGTAGGCCAGTTCCAGCTACAAAGAAATATCCTGAATTTAGAGATCAAGCCAGAGGCTAAAGCAACACCTGGGAAGGATTTTAGATTAAAGATATTTAAAATTTTTATGATGAGGCTATTTGAATTTATCATGAGTTACAAGAAGCTGAAAGAGAATATATTTTCTTTTAGATGGTGCTGGAAAACTAACCATGGACATCTGATACTTAAAAAAAAAAATGCTATTTTCTTTTTTAAAGATCGGGGCTCTTGAGGATCAAATGGGACACAAGAGAAGGAAAGCAAAAACATTAAGGTTGTTACCAAATCATCAGGTCTTTACACAGTATTTCTTAGGGCACTGAGTTTATTAGGCTAAAGTTCAATAAAATATAAATTGCTGAAGTGACTTAACATTAAAAAATGCAAATGAAATGTCTAATAATTGGATTCAGCAAAAGAACACTGGCAACCAATTTAACACTTAGAAAGATGATAAGTAATCACATTATTTGTAGTCAATATTCATATTGTCTCCTTCAGTGCATGACGTACGATTTTCAGAAGAAAGCTATCACCACTGAAAATCAGTTTGCAAATTCATGTAAGACCACCAAACCTTGGTAATGGCCAGTGTAGCTTAGGAGAAGCAAGCTGATTTCCTTTGTGAGTCTGGTAGGTTTTGTGGCTTGAGGAGGTGAAGGCTGTAACAGATCTTGCAAATAGTTTTGTTTCTGATTCATATGTTAGATTCATAGACAAGACAGAAACTGAACATAGCATTGTCAGTGGGATGCAGAGTCACTTGAAATAATAAGGAGGTGGAAGCAATAGAGGGGTAAAGTTATATTAATGACCTATTTACTAAGTAGGGTAAGTGGGGTTAATTTTTGTGGTTGACTTGAAACACAGAATAGGCAGAGAAACCACTAAATTTGAGGTGAAAATCAGTTTATGCCTGGTTGAGATAGGATTAGGTTCACCTCTCACAATATTAAAGAAATTGTTAAAAAATTTCATGTACATACACACATATCAACAGCATACACAATTTATTCGAATTCACTTTTACAATCCTTGATAAGGGGTTACACTTAGATCTCTGGAGTCTCATTTCAAAGAGTCAGAGTGCCAAGGAAATTTATTCAAGGGAAGCAAAATTAATACTAAGAAAGAAGGTTAAATGGAAATGATTCCATTTTAGAAGAAAAGACCGAGTACCAATTTGCAGTTTTTATACTGTGATGTTACATCAAGATTAAAAGTAACCAGCTGGTATCTCTTTCCACTCAGGATAGATAAAGGGCGCAAGAAAATTGCGTTTCAGCAAGAAGGGTTTCGGTTAGCTCTTTGTGTAACAGGCAGTAAAACAGATTTCCCAAGAAAGTTAAAGAATGGGATCCTCAGGAGATAAAGATTCCTCTACCACCTGTGTCAGGGATTTAGCCAACACCCTCGCCTGGGGGGGAATAAACCAGATGCTCTTGAAGTCCTTCCAAATGCCTGCCAAAACTACTTATTTTATTTTGGTAAAGAAATTATTTTGGGGTGATTTAGATATTGAAAAAAACCTGTAATTATGCATTTATATGCAAAGAAGTATAGAACTTTGTCATTTATTTTTTAAACCTTTTATTTAAATGTGGTTTAGAAACAACACCAAAAAACTTTTAAAAGCACACTTAATGTATTGTTCTATATCTAATTAGTATATTAACTGTTCTGTGAAAATCTTAGAGCCAGACATTTAAATATTTTTTGATAGTTTCAAAACCAGAGTCTGAACAAAGAATGAAAACTTTGGAGGGTACATTTACATTAATTTTAAAATTAAATTTGCACATTTTTTTAAAATTTAATTTGGGAGTTTAACTTCATAATATTAACATGTGAAAACTTTCTACAATGGTTTAGAGTTTCCTAACCCTAAATTCTGACTTTGATAATTCATTTTTATTCAAAGACTATTGATGTTAAAAAATGGAGGGTTGAGGGAAAAGAGTTGGAGATTATATGGATTCATTTATGAGAGAAAAGTAAGATTAATGTAGTTTGAATGGCAACTGTGTGAACTGCTAGTTTGGAAGATAAACAAGCTCAATTTTTTATTTATTGAGAAAAATTAGATTCATTTCTCACTGCATTTAAAAGATCACTGGAAAATTAATGTTTAATAATTAATTGCTAATTGTTAAATGCTAAAGCCCTCATATTTCATACAGGCGAGTTGGCAAGAGGTGTCTGTATTCTGTTTCATGACATTATATCTTGAATTATATCAATGCAAATCACCATCACAGCTGACACTGATTTGCTCCCTTTTAGAAATTACAGTAGAAAGGCCAAGGATAGAATAATCATTAGATAAAGTACCATCCCGCTATTGGAGGTCACCTGCATAGACCCTTTTTGAAGTGCTTGCAAAATAAAATTGGTATGGGGAGAAGCTGCCCAATTTCCCTTCTTTTCAAATCACCCTGGACAGCTGACCAGAAAATAGCTTTAGTGTCTGGTGCTATTAATTCATAACCGTCACCAGCTCTGACTTAATTAGGGAAGCAATTGAGGAATCAATATACAAAACTTCATCATGATCAGAGTAGCAGTGACATACAGAAGAGGCCCAAACAGTGAATTTTAAGTAGTGATGGTTACTGGTAGAGACATGTCCATGCAACACACATGCACAAAATGAGTCATTGTCACCATAGGCACACTGACAGCAGCATGCATGGCCTATGTTAAAAGACTAAACCCCAAAGTCTTCAACTTGATGAGAATAATATGATTACTGTATTTTGTGATTCCTTACATCTACTATGATACAGTAGAAAAAAACCAGAGGTGAATTTCAAGTTTTTAGTCAAATCCAGATTTATCCAGAGGTATTGCCCACTTAAACATTACCCTACAGTAGCTACAGGGCATGCCAGTGATTTCAAACTAAGATAGGACACAATTAAAAATGACTGAAATGTAATATAGAGAAATAGAAAATGACTGTCATGCATGTACAGTTTACTACTACAGTAAGCTTAAAACCATACCCCCTGCCATCCAGGAACGTGAAACTAGTTTTAAGGAAACAAAAGAGGAACAAGTGAAGTGATACTGTCATGTAGCACTTTGATTACTTTATTCAATCTTACACTCAAAAAAAATTTTTTTTGGCTGAAATAGGCTTATGTGCCTCTTTCACACTGGAATATATTTAGCTCGGTATTTGTTTCTTTCCAAATGGTTTAAATGTCCAGGAGGTGTTCATTGTCAACGTACCCTTATACTTCTTGCAGGAAAAAGGAGTTCCTAATCATTTTGGTATCACAGCTGAGAAAGTAACAATGTCTCCAACAAAATCAAGCCATGATGTCTCCACCAGGCACCCGGACTAGCTAAGGGCAGCATGATGTTGCATTGAACAGGGCATACAGCAGGCAAGTTAACATGCCAAGTAAAGGGGCACTTTGAGCATCGGATGATGAGTTCGTACATTACCTTTGACATTGCGACCATTGTCTGTTTTGAGCACAGAAGGATAAAAAAAAGAAAGAAATATAAAAAAGAAGACTAAAATTATGTTATATACACTGAATTACCTCTGTAAAAACAATCAGAGTAAACAGGATGTAATGACTGAAAATGTATCTTTGAAATTAGCATTTTGTACTATTCATCCAAGTGAAATGCATAAACCAAAACTGATATCTGCCATAAGCATGCATTTTCAAATATGTGAAATATTTATCTCACTTAATTTAACTGGATTCCAAGATTCAGATTTTATAATTATGACAGTTTGGAGAAAGGCATCACCAGGTGCTTGCAGTTGTGATAAAAACTTTCAATCGTGTCAGAAGCCAATTTTAGTGGCAGCTCAACCATCATTTACAAAGAAAGTCTGTGCAACACTTAGTAGGTAATCTTTTTTTCATATGATTTAACCTAGTAAATTAATAAGGAAAAATATGCTAAGACAACAGCTTACCTTAATAAACCAACTTGTGTTATTAATCAGAATTCTCTTAACTGCCCCTCCCACAAATGTTCTTCAATGTATATTTTGAAAATACCAAATGGTGCTCAAAGAGTCATTCTTAGGCAAAAATAATTGTAAGAAATCAGGGAAAGATCTGACCGTTGAAAGTAATGTGCGATTTTTAAGTTTATGTTTCACAGGGGACTTAGTGTAATAACTAAAATATTTAAGAAATTCATTTATATTAACATGGACTGTTTTCAAGTCTCAGAGTGGAGTGTTTTCAGATTTATTTTCAGATTATTTTGAGACTCTTTGACGCATATTTGCTACTAACAAAATATGCATTACTAGTTTTGAAACAAACAAACTTAAAATAAATGAAGTCATGTCAAAACCATTCAAATATATCCAAGATTTGAAAAATCTGTTCAACATTTGTTGACATCTATGCTAATGCTGTGCATATTTAAAATCTTGGGATATATCATAATTGTTTCAAAGCTTACAATTGAAGCAATTTCAATAATGTGGTATATTGAATTGCTAGTGTAGATATTGCCTTCGACAGAGATACACAAAGTTGTGACAACTCTGCCCCTTTTGAGAGACCATAAAAAAGCAAAAAGGGATTATATAGAATTATATATCCCATCCCATCAGAAGCTGGGCCCCCAAAATCACTAGTAAAGTAACAAGCGCTTGCAAGTAGTTAAAAATTGCAACATTACTTATCAAACCTCAAATATACTAAGATTTGCAGATTCCCAAAAAAACCTGATTAGAAGTTGCATCATATGGCTAATGCTGTTTTAACATTCTAAGACCATTCAGTCTGTGTCCTGGTGCTAGTTGAGACCTTGTTATTTGTCCATGACAATGTAAGTGCAGAAATTAGAGTAAGTATTTAGTGTCTCGTAGCAATTTGACAGAGCAATCTTATGTCCGGTCAATCTAATAATAAAACAATTGGGGTTTATATTTTCTATGACTATTTTTTTTAATTTCATTTTTCTAATAGTGTATTTTTTTATATTTACAAATGTATTTGTTTGTGATGGATTAGAAAAAATTCTGGTCCTTCACCATAAATGGTTTGAGAAGTAGAGCTCTAAGATACTTGATAATGTAGATTAAATAAAAGGACAATGTAAAATATTATGCACTACTATATTTGCAAAGTATTTAAAGTTCTATAAAGATAGCATTTATAGAAGGAAATTTCTCTTCTTGAATGAGGAGGCAATAATTTGAATTCAAAATCTGCTGCATGTGGGATTTAACCTGTTAACCAGTCACATGAATTCATGAAACTAAAATCAGTTTAAAAAATTTTTCATCTTCATGTGGCACTGTGTGTCAACTATACTCAAATAAAAATAATAAGACATTTTTTAAAAAGTTTTCCAGCTTCCTTTGTCAGCGGCTCAGTTTCTAAAATATACCAAATTATGTACCCTTAGGAGGTATAGTTTCTTTTATGCTAATCAGTGATTTTGTAGCTAAAATTGTTCTAAAGCTGAACTACAAAATACCCTCTGAACATATCAATTGGTAGCCAGATGACTAGAGCATCTGCCAGAAAGTGATATTTTTTTTGGAAATAACATAGCTTGGGTGGGGGAAGAAAATTGAGGATGACCTCACTACTGAGGGTCCTGAATAGTTCTCTATCCAGAAATGTTAAATCATTCTTTCCCATAATTGTATCAGCAATTATGTACTAAATAAAGACCAGATAGAAATGAAGAAAATAAAGTGAAATCATGAAATCTGATCTAACCTACTCAGCACCACTATCAAACCAGAGGCTAAGTCTTTACCATGCACCCACTGCATATCCTTTAATATGTAAGAATGTTATTATACTGTAACTCAGGCAATAAAGCCAATTTCTGAAGTCAGTATGATTCCTAAAGATGCTTACACTAACTGTACTAACTAACTAAAATATATGTGGGTCATCTGAATCACCCTATTGGATTTATTGCTGTTCAGCCATGGGATTCGTTGCTCAAAGATCAAATTTCAGAGGTTTCATTCAGTCAGAGATATTGAGCATGCCATTACTACACAGTAGGGGGGCCTTAGATGATTATTCAGTTTGGGAATTGTCCTTGATTTTATTTTCTTTTTAACCTTCTTTAGACCACAGATTAAAATGGATGTGTTAATTGCTTTTGTACCAGATACAGTTTCTCAAACCTATCTATGGAAAACTCTTCCTTCTGTTTTTGTGATATTGACTTAATCTCTTTTTGAATTCTTCCTGCCAATTCATTTTCTTTCATCATTTCTGCCTTTTCATCTTCACTGTGCCCTTTACATAAAGCTCCCCCACATGATTCAAGTAGTATGGGGTACAATCATTTCCTGCTGTGTGTGGTTTTGAAACATACTTCACGAGCATGGTCCTCTTAGTTTCACACCAACATTTATTGAGTTCCTGCCATGAAAAAGGCAATTGTGATACTAAGGCTGCAGAGCTAACTGTGCCCAAGCTCCCGCACCGGGGGAACTCACAGAAACCTAGTTTGTGCTTTGCATATCCAACGGAAATGACAGACTTAAAATGTGGAATAAAGGTAAAATGTAATAAATGCTATAATATGTGCAAACACTGCTTTGCACACCCAGGTGTGAAATCATCTAATTCTTTTGGTTTGGGAAGGGGAAATGGGTCCTTATGCCTGTGAGAGGCAGAAAGAGGAGGGACAAAGTGAAGAGTTATTCGTGGCAGAACAAACTAATGAAGCAAGAAAATGTGTGATACATTTTTGGGAAAAAGCAATTATCTTTGTGCAGGTTTTGAGGGGAATGTATAGTAGGGGAAGGAGTCCTGCAGGAGCAGGAAGTAAGGCTTGAAAAATAACTGTGGCCTGCTGGCCTTGTGCCCTACACTATGAGCCCAGTGATCTGGCGAGGCCTGGTGGATTGTGGACTCTGGAGAAGGGTGGTCCGGGGTGTGAAAGCTGACTCTGGCGTTCTGTAACCTTGGACCAGTTATTTATGTAACATAAATAAGCCTCAGTTTCCTCATCTATAAAATGGGGTTTAATAATAATTCCTAACTCACAGAGTTGTTGTAAGAATTAAATGAGAGTGAATGTGTGTCAAGCATTTACATTGTCTCACACGTAGCAAATACTCAGTAAATGTTGGCCATCGTCATGTTAATGATGAATTCTTTTCGCCAGTGTCTTTTAAGCATTGCTGGTTTCATTACTGGCTAATGTAAGTGTGAACACCAAGAGGCCAGGGAAAAATAAATGAATTCTGACTTGCTCTGACTTCGGTTTTCAAGTTTGTTCTTTCAGTACTCTCAGGGTTGGTTTTGGTTGTTTTTCCCCTAAACCTTTCCCCTTCTTCCTTCCTATCTCCACCCCACCCAATCATTTATAGCTTTCTGATGACTCAGTACACCACATTTTATACACGTCTTCCTTTGGAAAGACTTGGTTAATAGTCCTGTGAAGGCACACCACTCATTCTGCCCAAGGCTTGACTATTTGTGAAATGCAGCAAAATTAATTATGCTTGAGATGATGGTGTCATCACCTAAGCATATCTTATATAAAGCATTAATTAACATTCCATAAGGTAGGCAGATAATGGTTATCATACCATTTCAGAAACACAGAAAAGAAGCCAGAAGAAAACCAAATTATTCACTATGGTTCAAAGAGGAAATCAGTAACAACTCTAATGTAGGACTCCTAATTTTTAACTGCCATGATTTATTTGCATTTCTTCCCCCAAGGCATAGGGATTAATGTCAAAATTAAAAACAATATGGAAATTACCTTTCATTACCCATTAATATTCATTTCCATATTTAAAAAAACAAACATACCTTCACTGGCATGTCGGTCTCTAAATATGTTCTTGGGGTAGACACTGAATCCTTCTATATCGTGAACTGAAGAAGCCCTCCGTATACTACAGATGCTTTCCTTCGATCTGGAATGAGTCAGCTGGGTACTTGACTGCAGCATGTCAGGGTAGAGTCGGTCCCATTGCCTTTTGGGAGAGGAATGGTCAAGAGGTCCAGATATATTCACCAAGGGGGAACATTTGCTGGGCTGTATCAAGGCTTTTGTATCATCTGCTTCGGAGGGGCTGCAGCTCTCTTTTGTGGGAGACTTGAAGTGCTTCATGGCTACTGAATCATCACTGTGTTTAGATGAATCAATTACTACCACATCAGGGTCTTCTTGGGGTAAAGACTGCTTTCTGTAAGTGAGAACTCTCAGACCAGGGAATTTAAACCCAAAAAGTTTCCCTACAAATGGAGACAGGAAAAAACATTATTACAAGACAAATACACACACACACACACACACACACATTATACATATATAAGACATATCCCTTAAGACAAACAAATGAACAAGTATCGTTGACTCAAATTTAAATACCATGTAAAAAGAGTTATTAATCAATAATTAACTCATTTACAGCTGGAATGAGGGATATTGTAGAAAACTTCTGAGACTAATATGAATTGCCACATAAGCAGTAAGAAAATAGTAAAATAATCTTATCATGTTTCTGATGGTTAAATATACTCCAGTGACATGAAAGCATTACTTGGAAGACACAAGGTTTCTTATTTCAAAAAATTAAAGACATGTTACACATTATTACGTATTACATAGTGTTAAATACACTATACAACCATTTTTAAGGAAATGGGAAGGGTGGAATACAGTTTAGCAAGGAAAAGAAGGGATAGGGCGTCATATGTAAAAGGGACAGACACAGGAGAGATTATAGTGCATATGTGTGTTTGGGGGACTAGGGGGTCTATTGTACTTCAAGTAAGAGGGAAGAGAATGAGGTGGGCATAAGAAGTTGGCCTGACCTATCTAGAAGATTTGTATTAGATAATACCGTGAGTCATGTGTGGATTAGAAAAGTGGGGTCAACAGTGTATGAAAACATTCCTCATTCCATTTGAAATTTTTGGAAGGCTTTTGGTTTCAGATAGAGATGTAAAGATAAGAATTTCTTTTTCCTGATATTTTGTGTTCCAAAATCTGAGAATATGGCATGAAATGTTATACGTATCTCAATGGATGATGCTTAGAAGGACAACTAAATCTAACATTAAAAGGTGGGTATTAAAATTAAAATATTAACTAATAAATATATAAACTCACTGGCAGTAAAAACGAAAATCAAAACAAGAGCATATCATTTTCCACTCTTCAGTTTAGCAGTAAATAAAAAAAAAGCACATAACATGGAGTGATGGCAAAAAGTGCTGGTGAGCATTCTGGCACCTTGCTGATGGGATTGCAAATTGCTACAAATTCTTTGGAAAGTCATCGTACAATATCTATTAAAATGAAAATATGTACTTATCAACCTCATTTATAGGGTAGTACAAAGACACAAAAACAAGACACGGTCTGAATATCATCAGAAGGAGAATGGTTAAATAAATCATGGCATTTTTATACTTAGGAATCTTCTTTGAAAAAAGTATACATATATTTATGTTTTGATTAGAATTAGAAGTTTATTAAAAATAGTGTTAAGTGAAAAAGCAAGTTTCAGTTTAATATTCATGACATTTCATTAAAAATCATAAAAGGTTATATTTTGTTGATGTAAGTTTTATAGCAGTAGAGAAAGATGTGGAAGAACACACACCAAACTCATAATGTTAACTGGCTAAGTGAGTTTGGAAGTGGGGGAAGGCAATGTATTGCATTCTTCTTTATATATCTTTGTTGTTTGTTACATCAAGCATGCATTCCTTATATATTTTTTTAAAATATATGTTTTTAAATGTTTTTAAATGTTTTTTAAATGTTTTTAAAAAACTAATAACTACTAAAAGAAATGAAGAGATAAAACATCCAAAAAAGATTGCGTGATTCAAAGCTTTTCTAAGTATCATCTACAAGAAAATGCAGAGTTTCTAAAACTCTATTGCCAGTGCGGTAGTCTATGTCCACATGGCCCCATGGCTTGACAATTACACATTGCCCTTCTAGTCAGTCAGTCGGAGTCTTTGGGCTACAATATTATCTCCCTTCTTATATTCTTTAAGTGTCATGGTTACCCTTATCTTTAATATATTTACTATGAACTTTTCCTCAGTGCTTTGAGGATGGTTTTGAAACATGGAAGATTGCTCTCAAAACTCATGGACTTTTCTGCATTTAAATACACTCTTCTAGTAAATGCACACATAGTTTTAATTTCATATTTAATCCAAGAACTCATAAATCTGCATCTCTAGCTCAGACCTCTTCTCTTAGTTCCAAACCTGCATATCTATTGGCCTCATTGACATCTTCACTTAAAAGTCTTAAAGACACCTCAAAATCCTATAGCAAATCCAATCTCTTGATCTATCTCTCTGATTCTAGCCCTTTTCCTGATTAACATTTCTGTCCCTCAGTGGACCATAGGCCTCATGAGGGCAGGGCACCCAACTTATTTTGCTTACCAAATCCCATCTCTGACAGAATGCCTGAGCATGATAAATGAATATCTATAAGCAGATCTTAAACTGAAAATATGTTTCAATTCTGACTGTGGAAAACTAGGATATTTAATTGTTCTGACCAACTTAATTAGATAATCTTAGCCTTCTGGAATTGCATTGACCCATGTTTACCAAAAATGATTGATTGAGTAGAACTCAGAAGCTCATGGAAATGGTGAACTCTCTACCATGCCCTTTGTACCTGATGCAACTCTTACTGTTAATTTCAACTTTTTCAGAGGTTATTAATTGCTACATTCTGGTTTTAGAACATACACAGAAATGTTTTAAACTTCTCATTTTATGTAAATTACCCATTACAGAAAATTTGATAATTAAGCAGGCTAAATTATTATTGTAAGCTTTCATTTGTGAGCTAGTAGTTAACAGTATTCAATACAGTTGTAATTGATTTATCTTTCTGACAAAAGACATGACACAATGTGCAAACTCCAAATATGTTCGCCTTTAAGTTCTAGATTAATAAACTGTAGATGAGAGTAACCAATCTGTGCTAATAAGATTAAACAACAGTGTATCACAGTTAGTGTTTTGCAAGCATTCTTACATAATTCTAACAATTCTTATATGCTCAAGTAAATTGCCAAGTTAAAAATCAGTGAACTGCATCAAAGTCACTTGATTAGTTTTTAATGCACATGGAATTGACTTATAAAGCAGTTTACAAATCAATTCTGCAAGCTTATTACAGTGCACTGAAGGTCAGTGCCTACTTTTATTCATTCTTCATCAGTTACATTACCCTCCTCCTTTAAAAACAATTCCCTGCCTTTCTGAAATTAATGACCGCACAAGGCATTTAGTTTGCTCCTGTAGTTTGGTCATATCCAAGGTGGTACAGATCGTCTTTTCTGCATCACTAGGTTCATATGACCATGTTATATTGCATTACAGATTTAGTTGTCTGAATGCAGTTCATCCGGAAAGAATACACATTGAGAATTTTGTTCAGTGCTAGAACTTTCAGGCATGAAATATAAAACATAGATGAGTATAATCCTGTCATGGTTCTCACCACCGAAAAATATCCTTATAGATTAAGTCTCCATATTGTACTGTATTTGCTTTCTAACTTAAACAACCAAAATAGATACTATTTAGCCTTTTGTTTACTAAAACGTTTGACAAATCTGAAATAAGAACAACAGAATAAGAGTTTTTACCCATTTTTTACACTCTCCCAAATAATTATAAGTACTGATAAACTGCTCACACAAACATGATTTTCTTCTAAAATGTACCTAGTTTCTCACACTCATGAATGAACTACTGCTACAACGTCTTTCTCAGAACATGTCACTTTTAAGAAGCTGCTTAATATAAGTATGGAAGCTTCATCTTCGTGTATCCTGTGTCATATTTAACTGAGAGCTTTTTACTTCTCAACCATGTAAGCACACAGATAGTCCATCATTGTTGTCTTTAAAAAGCCTGGAATTATGACTCCAATCTATATACACAAATATGTTAAATATGTGGCTCAAGGCCAAACAGGAAATCAGGATAAAGTGAGAATAAAACAGCAGCTTCTTTTATTTAATTTCAGTTTTATCCAAGAGTTGGTGTTTTCTTGGGCCATAAATATCCATATTGAGGATTTAATGAGAATCTTAACTCTCTTCTAAATAAATGTAGATAAATGCATACACACAATTTTATTTTTGATATCAGAGGATGAATAAGAAGATCTCTCTCCCCCAAGGTAAACCTTTCTACTAACCTCCCCTAGGGTTCCCTGGGATTAATGTTAAGGACTCTTAACATTCCCTCCAGTTCTGAGTTTCTTTATATATTTATGCTAATCATAGTTTTCACAAAATTATAATGATCACAGCTACATTTCTACCTGATCTCCTGTGGTAATGGGACTTTAGAATATAGTTTTACTAAACTTTCCAGAATGGAGAGCACCTTATCCATCTGAACTGTTATTTTTCTCTCTTTCTTCCTTATCCTCTCCTCTGGGAGCTAGTTCTTATCTACTCAAATTTGGAAGAAAACAATTTTTCTAATTTAAGAATCAATTTGGGAATATTAGAAATAATAATATTTCTTGCAGAAAAACAAATATTTCCAAAAAGTCCTCCACATATTTTTAACATTGAATTTCCTCACAATTACAAACTCCCAATCATTCCCTTCGTTCAACTTCTCTTAATTTCTGCAAACTCTTAGAACTTTGATTATCTAATAATTTTACTATGAAAACCCAGTTAAATATAAATCAGAAAGAATTTAGTCTTGCTTGGTTCTGATTCGTTGAATTATGGACTAAAAAGTAGAGAGAAACTTTAGTTCAAGCAGTCCTGCACCCTAAAGGATACAGTGGGGTAAGGGAGGGGACACACATGGTGGGGGCAGGAAATGGTGTATTGTGAAGACCCTGAGCAGAGATATTTCCTCTCCCAAAGGAGTAGAGGTGGTGGGAAGTTGGATCCTGAGAAAGGTCTGTTCAAAAGGTCTTATGAGGAGTGTTCTCAGGAGATATGCTTGAGGAAAAGGAGGAAGGCAGGATTGGGCAGAAGTTAAACTCTTATGCAAATGCAATGGGAGCTTCAGCCCCCTCTCCTGGGAGCTCTGGAGCTGGAAAGACCCTTCAGAGTGATGTCAAATTCAAGTCAGGGTATCTGGCCTTTGTCTTCCTGCATCAGCTAGTCATGTGCTACAGCCACCTTGTGAGAAGTTCCATAACCTACGTAAGGCAGTTCCCTGTCTTTGACTACCATTCTCAATGAGGAGCAGAGCTGTAGGCACTCAGT